GCCTTGCCGTACTCCTTTCCCAATCTTGAACCAGTCTGTTGTTCCGTGGTCAGTTCTGACTGTTGCTACTTGGTCCTTGTACAGATTCCTCAGGAGAGAGACAAGGTGACTTGGTATGCCCATCCCACCAAGAACTTGCCACAATTTATTATGATCCACACAGTCAAAGGCTTTAGAATAGTCAATGAAGCAGAAGTAGATGTTTTTCTGAAACTCCCTGCCTTTCTCCATTATCCAGCATCCGGATATTGGCAATCTGGTCTCTCGTTCCTCTGCCTTTTCTAAACCCAGCTTGAACATCTGGCAACTCTCGCTCCATGTATTGCTGGAGTCTTCCTTGCAGGATCTTGAGCATTACCTTACTGGCATGAGAAATAAGGGCCACTGTACGGAAGTTTGAGCAGTCTTTCGCATTTCCCTTTTTTGGTATGGGGATATAAGTTGATTTTTTCCAGTCGGATGGCCATTCTTGTGTTTTCCATATTTGCTGGCAAATGGCATGCATCACCTTGACAGCATCATCTTTTAAGATTTTAAACAGTTCAGCTGGGATCCCGTCGTCTCCTTCTGCCTTGTTGTTAGCAATGCTTCTTAAGGCCCATTCAACCTCACTCCTCAGGATGTCTGGTTCTAATTCATTCACCACCGTCAAAACTATCCTCAATATTATTATCCTTCCTATACAGATCTTCTGTATAGTCTCGCCACCTTCTCTTGATCCTTCAGCTTCTGTTAGGTCCCTGCCATCTTTGTTTCTTATCATACCAATTTTTGCCTGAAATTTACCTCCAATGTTTCTAATTTTCTGGAAGAGGTCTCTTGTCCTTCCTATTCTGTTGTCTTCTTCCACTTCCATGCATTGCTTATTTAAAAATAGTTCCTTATCTCTTCTGGCTAACCTCTGGAATTGTGCATTTAACTGGGCATATCTCCCCTTATCCCTGTTTCCTTTTGCTTTCCTCCTTTCTTGGGCTACTTCCAGTGTCTCAGCAGACAACCATTTTGCCTTCTTGGTTTTCTTTTTCTTTGGGACGTACTTTGTTGCCGCCTCCTGAACAATGTCTCGGACTTCTGTCCATAGTTCTTCTGGGACTCTGTTTACTAAATCTGGTCCTTCAAATCTGTTCTTCACTTCCACTGTATATTCGCTAGGAATGTTAGTGAGATCATATCTAACTGGTCTGTGTATTTTCCCTGATCTCTTTAGTTTTATTCTAAAGTGGGCAATAAGAAGTTCGTGATCTGAGCTACAGTCAGCCCCAGGTCTTGTTTTCACCGACTGGATGGATGTCCGCCACCTTTGGCTGCAAAGGATTTTTGTTGTATGCACAAGTAATAAAGGCGCCCATACAGCCATGCTGGCAACGCGACCAGGAGGTGCCTATGGGCAACAGTCTCCTTGGCTTGGAAATAGAACAAGAGCTCCTCCCGATGGCCGGAGTTGAGCACCGCCTCCAGTAGCCAGACATGAAAGGGGAAGCCTTTACCTCTGTTCTGTATATTTGTACATCAGTTATTCCATGTTATTAAAGGCATTGAATATTTGCCATGTTGTGTAGGTTGTAGGCTGCTCTGAGACCCCTCCTTGGGGAGAAAGAGCAGAATATATATAAAGTGTATTATTATTATTATTATTATTATTATTATCATCATCATTATTATTTTACTGACACAAATACACAGTGTGACAAGCCAACGAGACCGCTATGCTGGATTTCATATCACAAAATCACAAGTTGAACACTTCCCAAGCGTCTAGGACTGTGTGATGTATTTCCAAATGATCCATGCAGATCCAAGTCAGGTGCCTTTTGCAGTTGACAGATTTATTTATGTATTTATTTACAGCTTTTCTATTCCGCCCTTCTCCTCGCCCCGCAGGGGACTCAGGGCGGATTACAGTGTACACATATATGGCAAACATTCAATGCCAATTTTGACATACAACGTATGCAGACATACACAGAGGCTATCTAACTTTTTTTCCTGGCCGCCAGGGGAGCTGTCGCTTTCATCGTCCATCTGCGACACTGATGAAGTACTTCCGCATTCCCCGCATGCTTCCCTGCTGGAATGCTTTGCTGGAGTCTTCTTTATGGCCTCATAAATCAGTTAATTTAGCCTCCCCACACTTTTAAGGTGGTACCTAATTTTCCTACTTGGCTTTCGGGTTGCAAAGGTCGACAACAGGCTACACACAATTGGTTGGAAACCCACTCCAACCCGGGCTGGCTTCGAACTCATGACTTTTGGTCAGAGTGATCTTAATGCAGCTGACACTCAGCCCGCTGCGCCACAATCCCGGTGCAGTGTATATAAGGTGTATTATTATTATCACCATTATTATTTTATTGACACAAAAACACAGTGTGACACAGCAAACACGAAATATATGCTGGATTTCATATCACAAGTCGAACCCTTCCCAAGTGTCTAGGACTGTGTGATGTATTTTCGAATGATGCGCACAGATCCAAGTCAGGTGCCTTTTGTAGTTGGCAGATTGTGATTTTGTCAATGTTTATTGTTTCCAAATGCCAGCTGAGATCTTTTAGCACGGCACCAAGTGTGCCAATCACCACTGGGACCACCTGTACTGGCTTGTGCCAGAGCCTTGTTGTTGTTGTTGTTGTTGTTATTGTCTTGGGCCGGCCCTGAGGTCACCTGTCACCCCTGCTGTGCCTTGTGTTCCTTCCAGCGCTTCCCCCGAAGGGCTCCGGCCAGTGTCCCAAGCCCCAGGGCGCTGGGCTCTGCGTGGAGAACTGCACGAGTGACAAGTCCTGTGGCCCAGGAAGGAAATGCTGCAGCAACGGCTGTGGCCACGACTGCATGAAGGTCACTGGAGGTAGGCAGGCAGCCCTTGGGAACACCAAGCTCTGCGCTCTGGACAGCTCCCGTTGGAGCCAGGGCCGGGAGGCGTGGGGTGCGGGGCGTCATGGGTCTATGGGTTGGGCCACCATGATCTTCTGTGCATCCCTGTCCCTGGGGGCAGAAGAAGCAGGGTCTCTATTATTTATTTATTTATTTTTATTTATTTTGGTTACTTCTACCCCGCCCTTCTCACCCCGGAGGGGACTCAAGGCACAATTCGATGCCGGCATCACATAACAGTAGTATAAAACAATCTAGCAGCAATTAACAGTTAACCAACAGCTCCTGCATTACAACAATAAAACCAATAAAACCAATACAAACCAATTATTCCTCATTAACGGTCAGCGTTCGCCATCTCATAGTCCAATTTCCAATTCCACTTTGTCAATCCTGTCAGTCCTAGTCATCTGATTGTCCTTATCTAGTTGTCAGATTGCCCAAAGGCCTGGTCCCACAACCACGTCTTTAATTTCCTCCTGAAGGAGAGGAGGGATGTTGATGACCTAATTCCCCTGGGAGTGAGTTCCACAGGTGGGGGGCCACCACTGAGAAGGCCCTGCTCCTCGTCCCCACCAGCCTCACTTGTGATAGTGGTGGGGTCGAGAGCAGGGCCTCCCCAGATGATCTCAAATTCCGGGGTGGGACGTAGAGGGAGATACGTTCGGACAGATACACTGGACCGGAACCGTAAAGGGTTTTGTAGGTCAAAACCAGCACCTTGAATTGTGCTCGGAACTGAACCGGCAGCCAGTGGAGCTGACACAGCAGGGGGGTGGTGTGCTCCCTGTATGACGCTCCTGTAAGAACTCTGGCTGCCACTCGCTGGACCAGTTGAAGTTTCCGAACACTCTTCAAGGGCAACCCCACGTAGAGTGCGTTGCAGTAGTCTATTCGGGGAAATGCACTGCTGGAGCTGCCCAGGGAGTCTCCCTACAGCAGGCATGGGCCAACTTCGACCCTTCAACAGAATTGTGGGAGCTGAAGCCCAAAACACCTGGAGGGACGAAGTTGGCCCATGCCTGCCCGACAGCTTCAGCTTTCCTTGTTAGCAAATGTCTGCCCCCCAGTGTCCTAAAATGGAATTGCAGCGTACAGGCAGATCTCATAATCGATTGTAAGATGCAGAGCAGTTTTGGAGCTCCAATTTGGCACCCCTTTATTTCGAGCCCTGATATTTATTTATTTATTTATTGGTGGGGAGGTGCATCTTAGACCCAATGAAATGCAGAAATGGAAATACTATGTGTTGTTGGTGCAAGCCACTTTGCACCCTAATCCTGGAAGAAGGGCTGGGTGTCAACCCTATAAATAAAGTAGTCGTGTGGGGAAATGTGGGGAAGGCGAAAACCCAGCTGTGTTGACTGCAGAGAATGGGGAAACAGGCAGAGGAATGTGTGCGTGATGCAGCCGTTCGCCACGTCCCAGGCTTTGCAAGATTCAGGGGAGAATATGTGTCCCCCTGCTAACGGATATTTCCTCTTCCTTGCAGGGTCTTCCTAACTGGACTCCAGAGGAGATGACCGCTGGATGGCCTCTTTCCTTGGGGTTTGCACATGCCCTGTCACCATGCTGTAAATGTCCCCTTGGAGTCCACTGGCTCCCCCAATAAAGCCGGTCTGAGCTTTCCAGCATCCTGAGCCTCGTGTGATGCATGTTCCTGCGGAAACTTGGAGGGAGGGAGGGAGGGAGGGAGGGAGGGAGGGAGGGAGGGAGTTCTGTCGCCGCTGGGCCTGTATTTGGTTGGCTTTAAATATAGGATGTGTAACCTTTGCCCAGCGGGAAGCCAGGGGCCTAAGGAGAAATTCTCAGAGGTTTCCACTACAAAAGAATCTTCAGATGGCTAGATAAGTACAACAAAGTCTTTTATTAATGAAACCAAACAGGAACTTCAAGGCTTTCTTGATAAAGTATTGGTTCTCTCAATCTTGTCCACAGGGGACAGGCACTATCTTCAATAACGTTTTCTTTAAAGGAAAATTCCCCATTTTAACTTCGCCCAAGGCTGACTAAAATCCAACCCTCACTGTTGTGGGTTCCGCTGCCAGGCTTCTTGAGCGCTGAGAGGACCTACCAGCAAGGCGATGGATGTTCTCCAGTTGGCGTTTAAAGCTGTTATTCCCTCCGAAATTCCTCAGGGCTGTAAGGCTGTTTCCCTGGGAACCTTTGGGAATCTTTAGATGCTGTTCTCCCCTGGAAATTCTTTCCCTGGAGATTCTGTTAGAGTTTCTGTGACCCTGGAATTCTGGTAGATGTTGAAGCCTTTGTACAGGGGAAGCAACATACATCCCATACATTGGCTAACCTGGCTGAAACTAAACTCAAAATGGCTCACTTCCCTACCAAAACCCAAAAAGGGGGTGGGACTAAGGAACCTAAGGCTAATTGACAAGCAATTGATGCAATAACTGCAAAATAAGGAGAGCCATCTAACCGCAAAGGCATGCAACTTCAAAAACATGCAGCATCAAACAGATAGAAAGATAAGCTGGAACTCCTGGTGCGGCTGTACCAAAACAGAGGGGATGGTCATTCTGATGGGGATAGTATGGGGTGAATGGTAGGCCTCCCAGCCCCCGGGGCTCTGGGACATTGCCATGGATGGAAGTGTAAGTGAAGCAAGGTAGAGACAGTAAGGAGCATCTGAACCCCTCGCCATGCTCTCATGAGCACAACCTCACATTCACCCAGAGACATTTATGACCCAAACAAAAGGGCCATGGAAAGAAAGCAGCTGGTCCCTCACATTTGCGGGTTTCGCACTCACGGTTTTGGACCATGTCCAGGTTTGACACACCATGTGGACTTTCCCAAGATGGGGCTGCCGTGGGGACATTCCCGTGGCAGCCCCATTCACAGAGAGAGGGAAACGAAGGAGCCATTTGGGAGGCCCATTGAGCTACCCATCATTTACTTGGGGAATGTCTCTCCCGCCTTTCTCCCAATGGGTCCAAGGAGGCTCACAACAACATGAAACATACAAAATAACATATGTGCCACCGTGCTCTCTGTGGCACCCAGTATCTCCCTCCCTTTCCCAGTTGGCATACAGGCCCCGTCTACACTGGCCATTTAAGACAGTTTGAAGCAGAGGGACAGCAATCAGTGACATCTAATCACCTCTCAACAAAAGATTGCTCCAGGCACTTCCAGGCCATCGAATGCTAATCAAGGTGGTCAGTTGGAACATTCCCACCTAGCTCCAGCAGACAAGAGTCCTTTGTCCCACCCTGGTCATTATTCCACAGATATATAAACCCTTTCTCCTGGTTCCAACAGACCTCACTGCCTCTGAGGATGCTTGCCACAGATGCAGGGGAAACATCAGGAGAGAATGCCTCTAGAACATGGCCATATAGCCTGAAAAAACTTACAACAACCCAGTTTGAAGTGAGTCTCCAATGGTGTTGGCTACGCGAAGCTTACCAGGAAAGGTTGAAGGCAGGGCTCTTCATAGATGGAGAATCTGTGGGTACAGAAGGACAGCTGTCACTGTTCATGTGGCCGTCAGTGCTACATTTGGGGGAAAACCAAAGTCAGGCATCATAATAATAATAATAATAATAATAATAATAATAATAATATACAGAGATACAAGGCAAACAGTGAAGGCCTCAAAACAAAGAAACACAGATACGCAGATAAAGGTTAAGGCTTCCCCTTCATCTCCGATTCAAACTACAAGAGAGGAGATTCCATCCGAACATGAGGAAGAACTTCCTGACTGTGAGAGCCGTTCAGCAGTGGAACTCTCTGCCCCGGAATGTGGTGGAGGCTCCTTCTTTGGAAGCTTTTAAGCAGAGGCTGGATGGCCATCTGTCAGGGGTGCTTTGAATGCAATTTTCCTGCTTCTTGGCAGAAGGGGGTTGGACTGGATGATGGCTCATGAGGTCTCTTCCAACTCTTTGATTCTATGACTCACCTCCATTTCTAAGCCAAGGAGCCAGCATTGTCCATAGACACCTCTAAGGTCATGTGGCCACTGGCATGACTGCATGGAGCACTGTTTACCTTCCCTCCTGTTGATACTTGCATGTTTTCGAACTGCTAGGTTCGCGAGTTCAGCAGCTCAGCAGTTTAACCCGTTGCACCCCTGTGCCCTTAAAGGGGAAACAGTAAATGTCTCTGGTGGGAAGAAGGGTTGTCACTGCTGCAAGCCCTGCAAGTAGTTCAAAGCCAGCCTCAGGGCTTTGTGTCATGCTATCTGCAGCACCAACTTTCTCCAAAACCCATTTGAAGCTGAGCTCAGTGGTTGGGGTAGATGCACACAGAGACTCAGAGAGCGCAAGAGAAGAGGAGGAACTGGCCCCATGCGCTGCTCCGCTGACCACAAGGATCCTCCTCGTCATCCTATCACTGTTCCACCTGGGAAAAGGATGCAGAGCAGCAGGAAGGAAGGAGAGGAACCCACAAGAAGAGGAAGTGGGGCTGGATCTGCTAGGGCCAGCTCCTCCTCCTCCTCCTCCTCCTCTTGCCATTTGCCACATGTTTTTGGTCCCTTTGCTGCCTTCATAGAATCATAGAATCAAAGAGTTGGAGGAGACCTCATGGGCCATCCAGTCCAACCCCATTCTGCCAAGAAGCAGGAATATTGCATTCAAATCACCCCTGACAGATGGCCATCCAGCCTCCGTTTAAAAGCTTCCAAAGAAGGAGCCTCCACCACACTCCGGGGCAGAGAGTTCCACTGCTGAACGGCTCTCACAGTCAGGAAGTTCTTCCTCATGTTCAGATGGAATCTCCTCTCTTGTAGTTTGAAGCCATTGTTCCGCGTCCTAGTCTCCAGGGAAGCAGAAAACAAGCTTGCTCCCTCCTCCCTGTGGCTTCCTCTCACATATTTATACATGGCTATCATATCTCCTCTCAGCCTTCTTCTTCAGGCTAAACATGCCCAGCTCCTTAAGCCGCTCCTCATAGGGCTTGTTCTCCAGACCCTTGATCATTTTAGTCGCCCTCCTCTGGACACATTCCAGCTTGTCAATATCTCTCTTGAATTGTGGTGCTCAGAATTGGACATAATATTCCAGATGTGGTCTAACCAAAGCAGAATAGAGGGGTAGCATTACTTCCTTAGATCTAGACACTATGCTCCTATTGATGCAGGCCAAAATCCCATTGGCTTTTTTTGCCGCCTCATCACATTGTTGGCTCATGTTTAACTTGTTGTCCACGAGGACTCCAAGATCTTTTTCACACGTACTGCTCTCGAGCCAGGCATTGTCCCCCATTCTATATCTTCCTCCTTGTGTCTCTGCAAAAGAGAAACTCACACAAAGAGTCTCATGGGACCACCCCTCCCCATGCAATGACAAGCCCATCCAGAGAGATCCATTGTTTCCTCACTTTTCCTGCGCCCCTCCCCTTTGCCAAAGCGGAAAACAAAAATCAGAAGGAATATTTTGAATGCTTAGCAATTCGTCACATTTGCGCTACAGCAAATTCACCCAGAAATATTTACTATCCAAAGCAAAAGGAAGGAAGGAAGGCTTTTCTCTGGCAGTTTGCACTGATGTGAATGCACTTGGCCACATATGCTGCAATGCAAAGCTCCTCCATCCCATACACACAAATTTCAATCTGAGGAATTTGGGAAAGTATGCAAGATGTGCCATGGCTTCCAGTGTCATTGAGAGCATCTTCTGCAGCTGCGACAGAATTCTACTCTGGCGGCTCCATGGAAGGAAGAACCTTGATTGACAACCTGTCACAAGCAGCCATGCGCACCATGTATTAATTTACATTATGCTCTTGAATGACGCATAAGCATTGTGACTGTGTTGACCTCCACCTGCAGAAGGAGAAGCACTTCCAGCTGCCCTTTCACCTGAAAGACCTGATGGGTCATCAGCAGCAGACAGAGAAAAGGGTTGACCAATTCCTCCCTGAGGGATCATTCCTATCCTTTCCATTCCCAGCCTGGTGCAGAAAAGAAAGGAGGTTTGGCTGCTGGGCTTCAAAGGTTGGAAGGGTCCCTTTGCTCCCCCAGGGGGAAATCCAATATCATTGTGGGCCCCGCTTCTCAGGTCTTTGGTGCACCTGGAAATGAACAAGCGCCACAAACAAAACCCGGCACAGACATGGGATGGGGAGGCCTGGCTTGAAAACTGTCCGTGTGAGAAGGATCTAGGAAGAACACAAGCTGAACGGGATTCGGGAAAGTGATGCAGCAGCAAAAAAGGCCAATGCCATTCTAGGCTGCATCCAAAGGAGGCGAGTGTTTAGATCGAGGGAGGTCGCAGTCCCACTCCTCTCTCTTCTGTTTTGGTCAGGCCTCACCTGCGTCCAGTTCTGGTCTCCACAAGTCAAAGAGGATTGGGACAAGAGGGAAGGTGTCTGGAGAAGGGCGATCCAAAGGGTCAAAGGTCTGAAAGCCAAGAATCCCTCTCAGGAGCAGCTCGGGGAGTTTGGCATGTTGAGCTTGGAGAAAAGAAGGGGAAGAGGAGACCTGGTGCCTCACCGAACTAGAATTCCCAGGACTCCATAATATTGAGCCACGGCATTTCCAGTGGGGCCAAGCTGCATTGATTCTACAGTGTGGATGAATCTCCTGCCCCCAGGTTCTCCTCTTCATCCCACTGTTGTCGAGCCACAATAAAATCCCTCCCAATCCACCCCAGAAGAATTCCAGTTCACCAAGGGCTCAGAAATAAGTATATATT